TTCTGCTTTATTACATATAATATATAAATAACAGAAAGGAATAAATATAACATCTTACACAAAAGATACACTAGTAAGATTTACATAATTCTCCAAAATAACAAAAACACTATAAATACCAGAATAAAAACATAAAAAAATCAATTACTGAGTGTCGTAACAATACAGCCTCAAAGGTGATTATAATTAAATAAATATAATGATAAATTGAGAAAAAGTAGACCGGAAGGCAATACATTCTACCTTCTGACAGACTTGCAATGGACTAATCATTATCCGCCAGGCCACAGATCATATTAAAATTATTTTCTACCAATTAAATGAACACAGAATTAGTGTTACTGGTAACACTGTTTATGAGATCTACATGTTACTAAGAAATTATAAAAATATACGAGTATGACGGCCAAAAAATCCGACGGACCTGTAAATCTTAAGCCATGGACCAGCACCGGTCCACGGACCATAGATTGGGAACCATTGACCCATGATCTGCACTCATAGCACATTGGTTTTATACTGGGCTGTAGTGAAAGGTGATTGATCAGTGGTGATAGGATGGGGTTAGAGAAGCTGTTGTACACGGACTTGGCTAGCGGCTAGAAATATTTGTTATTATTAGGTTCAGAGTGTTGGGAATGTGTTTTGTACTGAAGGATAGTTTTTCTGTTTGTTTAACGTGGCGCCGAAAATGACCATGTCAACCCTTCTTGAACTTTCTGTAATATTTGTTCCACTCCACACCATTGAGAGAGAGAGAATTGAAAATAATAATAAGATGCACTTGTCATCGACTTTTAATATTTACTTATATCGTACTGTACTGTACAGTCGCAGACAAAAGTTCTCTCCAGCTCCCATCCATAATCTGACTTCGAAACATTTGAGGTTCGAACAACGAAGCAGTAGAAAGAAGTGCCTTTTTGATCCAACAGATGTCGCACCTGGATGTTTTTACGGGAGGTAAGGGGGGCTGGAAACGAGAGGTAAGGGGGGAGGGAAATGGGAGGAAGGTTGGAAGGCGAATGGCATAATGAAATCTCCATCGACTGATTACACCTCTTAAGATGTTCTACAATAATGTATCAACAAAACTTTTATATACACGGTAAAGGATTATATGAATAAATACTAGGAGGTTCCAGGAGCAACAGTGGTATTGTTGATAGTATAATGAATACTATAAAAATAGTGTGTTCACTCAAAATTTGTAAATGAGGTCTAGAACCGTTTGTAACAAGATAGTTGATTGGCTGACTGGAAGACATGCAAAACATCATTCAACCTAGCCTTAGTATTTAATTTATTTTAATTGTATTCTGTAATTTCAAGGAAAAATAACTGTTCGGTGCTGATCTTTGATAATTTCCACGCCCGGGGAATAATTAAATTTTGAAACACACTGGTAACTAAGTATAGAGAATAACTTGAAGTATTTTTAATTATCTAAATCCACTTTAGAATTTAATTCCACTCATAAAATTTTATTTCTTGTTGGCTAAAAGATTTATATAAGTTTTTAAACTACCATTCCTACTACCGGGTATATTGCTGTTCTTGTCACATTACCTTTCTTCTCTTCCTCTTCACCTTCCTCTCATTAATAATCACGATTTTATTTTTTTTATTTTCCCGTTAATATACCTGTATATTAACAGCAATAAATATTTACAATTTGAGATGATTATAATTATTTATTAATGTCAAGGATAATTTCTACAGTACTGCAAGAAAGCAACATCTCCGTTTAAATTCCCACAACTTGCGTTCAGGATTGTATTGCTAAATCTCAAATATTAATTCTGAGTAGTGAAATCCAAATTATTTGATGTTGCAATAATAATTACATTTATTTTATGAGTAAAGAGGGTTAATGCTAATTTGTTTTATTTTATTGATACTTGGATGGTCTTCTCGACATGACGACAGGGAAATTTAACGCTTTATAAACTGTCTGCAAGTTGGTGAGGAGCGCCAGAGTTACTGGTGTCACCCAGACACCTAGATAACCGAGATGGTCGCTATGTTGTTGATCATGTTCATGTTTCCTTTATGGTATATATAAAACCAGTGCATTTCATTCCACATGTTAATTTCTGTTTCCCCAGGTGAGGAAATAATTATTAGAAATCAAGACAGCTGTTATCCCTTAAAATATCAAAATAAAATAAGATATAATTATTAAATACTAAGAACTGTATATTAACCCTATATGCATGTCCGTCCGCCAACCAATCAGGTGCCTTGCTATTGCAACCTATCCTAGGGCAAATGTGCAAAGTTCGGGTGAACAGACTGTGGTAAATCCATATTAGTGTTTGTTTTAGAGTAGAGTTATAATTATATTTACTCCTTTTTGTGACAACCATTTTCCACTTGTTAATAATCGTCCAGTTGACTAAACCTTATACCGAAAAAAATATGTTTTTGTCTTTTATATAATATTGTTTAAAGATTTTTCCTCCCACCAAAATTAACATTATTGAAATTAATTTTTTGTATGTAATGCATGGCATTATAAACATACAGTACAAAGTTTGTCAAGAGTTGACAGAAGAATAATTCTCAATTGCTGGTTATGTTTTCAAACAGTATGTATAATGTAGGAGAGTTGGAAAAGGAATCATAGAATTAGCAAAATATTACTAAATTATTTTATTGAAGCATTGTCAATGCTCAGAACAAACAATACAAAACTTAACATCGATTTTGGGTAAATGTGCGGGATGCATTTACGATTGAAGATATTAAATAGATATTTATTTCTACATTAACAGCATTTTAAACAAAACACTACACATGTTCAGAGAGAGTTAATTATAAGCAATTAATTTACATATACAGTATATGCACTGCTATCCCGGTTACATGAAAAATTTTTTATGCTAATGAAGTGATTATGGACTTTCTCTTCAAAACGAGTCCAGCCTCGCTGAGCGTCAGTCACTTCATTAATTCCCCAGTAGGCAGACATTCCACTCAATTTTAGGCAGATGTCAGGGACGCTGCCTCACTGATCTGGCCACACACCTCCCTGCTTCCTTTCACATTGTCGTCGGAATCTAACTTCATCTCCCACGTCCCACCCCGCGACACATGATGGCCCATACCCTGAGCGGGGTTCATATCACAACCATTGGACGGTCAGTCGACGACTTCCACTTCCGGGTGCTGGAATAAACCAGTCCTTCACCACATTGTCTTGTACGAGTGTAATAGGTGACGCGAGTACTGCCATGGTTTTCACTGACGGTAAAAATACCTCTTCTAAATCTCTACTGTAATTTTTGGCCTGTGAACATTCTCTCAAATCTCACCAGCTTCGCAGGCCCAAACCCCCACATCCAGTCCCCAAATTTAATGTCATTCTACCATTCCTGGCTTTCTGGATGTGTTGAGCAACATAGCGAATGCTGACTCTATCTCCAGCACATTCTAGCTCCCCTAGTTCAACTGATGAGAAACACTCATCCGTAAATATAATGGACTTCCCTGAAACTTGGGTCTGTTGCATGGTACTGGAGAGCAAAACCAAGTCTAGATTCCTTTGTCCCTGAATAATCATTCTTTCTTTGCCGTCGTGGTTCGCGGGTGGCAAGGAAGCTGCAGTTTCCGGAGTGACCTGAACTGCAGACATATTATGATGCTCCTGTATGGTGTCCGGTACACGAGCGACAGTTTTCACGTGTGGTACCTCGTCGTCTTCACAAATAAGGTTTGATTTAAGAGAACCCCTCCTCCTGCCACCGTTAAATTCATTTGTTGATGGTCCCAGGAGACACTCATCATAGGCAATTTCGCGGTTGGTTTCCACTCTCCCACATTCCGATGATTCAACCCCTGCAACAATTATATCCTGTGTTTGCACGCCTCCCAGACGGATAGTAATGAAGAAGTTTACAATATGACTTCTTTTCACGTGTGATTATAGTGATACTAGATTAATGTATGAGTATTAGCTAGAATCTATTTTGTTCTGAAGTTCGAAAACCTCTGTAAATATTTACATTAGTCGTCATTTACATTTACATTTATTTACAAATGGCAGCGAGGCGTGCAAACAAAAAGGATATAATTGCTACCAGTTGCGTCATTAAATTCTCACTTTCTTCTTTATAGCCTATACTATATATTTCCATTAACACCTCACTACCTCACTACCCACACTGACCACTCACGTGTCCTCTACTCCTCACACGAGACGAAGGTCCCAGACAGACCGAAATGTTGTCATGTTTACAAGAGTTCATTTAAAATGTGGGTATAATTCATGTACTTCTAAATTATAGCACTGTGCATTAAAACACACGATTGAAACAACTTAGTCACGTCTACTTGTTGTAAGTTAACAGACTCACAAGCAACGCCCATGATCCTTTAATAACAACTATTATATATACAGGGTATAACTAAATTGCTTAAATATTTTGAATATTCGCTGTTTTGGTAGTAGTGAAAATCATTATGTAATCTGAACTAATTACTGCTGATGTGGATATCGGGAATGCGCCACAGGTTTGTAGTCTGGGTGCCACCTCATCTCTTGTTGGTGGCACCTTCCCCCTCCAATAATGTATCACCCAACATTGAGTCACGACCATGCCGCCGTCTAGTTTGTAATTACACCCATAAACCCATTTACTGTGTAATATGATCTTTGACGTGTATATAAGATTTTTGTTGATATATTCTTTATCTTTATTTTTATAAACCATCTCCATCACTACCTTAATGCTATCAGTACAAGGGAATTTCTGTCATTCTAAATTCTCTACTCCAGTTCAGGTGCGACATCTGTTGGGTCAAAGAGGCATTTATTTCTATTGCTTAGTTGTTCGAACCTCAGAGCTTTCGTAGTCACATTGTTGTTGGGAGCGGGAGAGAACTTTTGTCCGGGACTGTACATATATTTAAGGATTTAGTTGATAACATCACCTTCCAAAACTGAGCTAATTGAACCAGCTTTTAATATCAAAATTTTTTTTTTTCTTTATGATCAGGTGCTGTTGGACTCACTACTGAAGCCTGAAGAAGTGGTAGAACCTGACGAGGACTTGGACGACGCGGAGGGCGAGCTGCACAACTTAGGTAAGTTAATAGATAAAACATGACAATACTAGTAACAAGATGTCTACACCCAGTCATCATACCTCCCGCTTTGAAGGTTGATCTCCAGGAAAAACAAATCCCTATCGGAATCCAGCAAGGCAAAAAAAAAATTCCATGGTCAACATTTCAAATTGAAATAGCATACCGTAAGGCATCAAAATCTTCTTGACAAGATAGTTAACAACTCCTTGATTATTGTACTGTTTGTATCAATTCAATTTTCAATTTCAATAGTTTATTCCTTGGGAGAAGCGGGATCCTAGTGCTGTCACTAGGTACCCCTGTACAATAACACCAGAAGCATCTGGTAAGTGTCACAAGTATATACAGGATAAATATTATAAAGGTGCTTACTAAAGCCTAAGGAAGGAAGGATATTCCTTTAACACATTATCAATATTATTTACATAATATCTGGCCAGTATGGGAAGGATCATCGTGTCTCCGTCAGGGGGTCAGTTTGTATCATTCTCTCTCCTACTGTGGTGAGGGATAATCACCATAAATTTTTGTTTTGTGAGGGATGTCATCGCTGTCTTAAGGAAGAAGAAAAATAAAGCCTCGAAGTCGATTGTCTGTTGGATGAAATAATTTTATTTTATTCTTAAATTCTCCCGTGGACTTGTTGCACTTCAGAAAGATTAGAAGACAACTGCTACTCTTGGTGCCTGTCTGCCATTTTAGTTACAATAGCAGTTCAGTATGTGATTTTATGAGTTACAAACTGATGGTGACTGACAAACACACTATTGCACCATTGTATTGATTTGAATACACGTGCTGTACTATTATTTTCATCTTGCTCCGTTAAATATACTAATTATTCAGTGTTGATATTCAGTTATTCTTCACAAACCAGTGAATTTTTCTGGTTTTGATTTTCAGTCTCCAGCTTTTGTCAGTACTGTACTGTATAATTCACATTTTTATCCAAACTTTTCTCCTCTGTCATGTGCAGCATTTACAGATATCTGGGTTCCTTGTTCCAGTACACTCTTATTTGGTTTAACTTTTCGAATGTTTGTCATATCTTTATTTAGTGGAGTATTGTCTTTATCTAGTGGAGTATTGTCTTTATCTAGTGGAGTACTGTCCTTATCTAGTGGAGTATTGTCTTTATCTAGTGGAGTATTGTCTTTATCTAGTGGAGTATTGTCTTTATCTAGTGGAGTATTGTCTTTATCTAGTGGAGTATTGTCTTTATCTAGTGGAGTATTGTCTTTATCTAGTGGAGTACTGTCCTTATCTAGTGGAGAAATGTCTTTATCTAGTGGAGCATTATCTTTATCGGGTGGAGTATTGTCTTTATCTAGTGGAGTATTGTCTTTATCTAGTGGAGTATTGTCTTTATCTAGTGGAGTATTGTCTTTATCTAGTGGAGTACTGTCCTTATCTAGTGGAGAAATGTCTTTATCTAGTGGAGCATTATCTTTATCGGGTGAGTATTGTCTTTATCTAGTGGAGTATTGTCTTTATCTAGTGGAGTATTGTCTTTATCTAGTGGAGTATTGTCTTTATCTAGTGGAGTATTGTCTTTATCTAGTGGAGTATTGTCTTTATCTAGTGGAGTATTGTCTTTATCTAGTGGAGTATTGTCTTTATCTAGTGGAGTATTGTCTTTATCTAGTGGAGTATTGTCTTTATCTAGTGGAGTATTGTCTTTATCTAGTGGAGTACTGTCCTTATCTAGTGGAGAAATGTCTTTATCTAGTGGAGCATTATCTTTATCGGGTGAGTATTGTCTTTATCTAGTGGAGTATTGTCTTTATCTAGTGGAGTATTGTCTTTATCTAGTGGAGTATTGTCTTTATCTAGTGAGTATTGTCTTTATCTAGTGGAGTACTGTCCTTATCTAGTGGAGAAATGTCTTTATCTAGTGGAGCATTATCTTTATCGGGTGGAGTATTGTCTTTATCTAGTGGAGTATTGTCTTTTATCTAGTGGAGTATTGTCTTTATCTAGTGGAGTATTGTCTTTATCTAGTGGAGTACTGTCTTTATCTAGTGGAGAAATGTCTTTATCTAGTGGACATTATCTTTATCGGGTGGAGTATTGTCTTTATTTAGTGGAGTATTGTCTTTATCTAGTGGAGTATTGTCTTTATCTAGTGGAGTACTGTCCTTATCTAGTGGAGTACTGTCCTTATCTAGTGGAGAAATGTCTTTATCTAGTGGAGCATTATCTTTATCGGGTGGAGTATTGTCTTTATCTAGTGGAGAAATGTCTTTATCTAGTGGAGTATTGTGTGTCTTTATCAAGTGTAAAGTTGTGTGCCTGTATCAAGTGGAGTATTGCGTGCCTTTATCAAGTGGAGTATTGTCTTAATGTTGTGGAGTATTGTGTGCCGTTATCTGGTGCATTATTGTCTTTAGGTAGTGAGTATTGCGTGCCTTTGTCTAGTGGACTATTGTCTTAATGTAGGAGTATTGTGTGCCGTTATCTGGTGCATTATTGTCTTTATGTAGTGAGTATTGCGTGTCTATGTCTAGTGGAGTATTGTCTTAATGTAGGAGTATTGTGTGCCGTTATCTGGTGCATTATTGTCTTTATGTAGTGGAGTATTGCGTGCCTTTATCTAGTGGAGTATTGTCTTAATGTAGTGGAGTATTGTGTGCCGTTATCTGGTGCATTATTGTCTTTATGTAGTGAGTATTGCATGTCTATGTCTAGTGGAGTATTGTCTTAATGTAGTGGAGTATTGTGTGCCGTTATCTGGTGCATTATTGTCTTTATGTAGTGAGTATTGCGTGTCTATGTCTAGTGGAGTATTGTCTTAATGTAGTGGAGTATTGTGTGCCGTTATCTGGTGCATTATTGTCTTTATGTAGTGGAGTATTGCATGCCTTTATCTAGTGGAGTATTGTCTTAATGTAGTGGAGTATTGTGTGCCGTTATCTGGTGCATTATTGTCTTTATGTAGTGGAGTATTGCGTACCTTTATCTAGTGGAGTATTGTCTTAATGTAGTGGAGTATTGTGTGCGTTATCTGGTGCATTATTGTCTTTATGTAGTGAGTATTGCGTGTCTATGTCTAGTGGAGTATTGTCTTAATGTAGTGGAGTATTGTGTGCCGTTATCTGGTGCATTATTGTCTTTATGTAGTGGAGTATTGCGTGCCTTTATCTAGTGGAGTATTGCGTGTCTATGTCTAGTGGAGTATTGTCTTAATGTAGTGGAGTATTGTGTGCCGTTATCTGGTGCATTATTGTCTTTATGTAGTGGAGTATTGCGTGCCTTTATCTAGTGGAGTATTGTCTTAATGTAGTGGAGTATTGTGTGCCGTTATCTGGTGCATTATTGTCTTTATGTAGTGGAGTATTGCGTGTCTATGTCTAGTGGAGTATTGTCTTAATGTAGTGGAGTATTGTGTGCCGTTATCTGGCATTATTGTCTTTATGTAGTGAGTATTGCGTGTCTATGTCTAGTGGAGTATTGTCTTAATGTAGTGGATATTGTGTACCGTTATCTGCATTATTGTCTTTATGTAGTGGAGTATTGCGTGCCTTTATCTAGTGGAGTATTGTCTTAGTGTAGTGGAGTATTGTGTGCCGTTATCTGGTGCATTATTGTCTTTATGGTGGAGTATTGCGTACCTTTATCTAGTGGAGTATTGTCTTAATGTAGTGGAGTATTGTGCCGTTATCTGGTGCATTATTGTCTTTATGTAGTGAGTTATGTGTCTATGTCTAGTGGAGTATTGTCTTAATGTAGTGGAGTATTGTGTGCCGTTATCTGGGCATTATTGTCTTTGTAGTGGAGTATTGCGTGCCTTTATCTAGTGGAGTATTGCGTGTCTATGTCTAGTGGAGTATTGTCTTAACGTAGTGGAGTATTGTGTGCCGTTATCTGGTGCATTATTGTCTTTATGTAGTGGAGTATTGCGTCCTTTATCAAGTGGAGTATTGTCTTAATGTAGTGGAGTATTGTGTGCCGTTATCTGGTGCATTATTGTCTTTATGTAGTGAGTATTGCGTGTCTGTGTCTAGTGGAGTATTGTCTTAATGTAGTGGAGTATTGTGTGCCGTTATCTGGTGCATTATTGTCTTTATGTAGTGAGTATTGCGTGCCTTTATCTAGTGGAGTATTGTCTTAATGTAGTGGAGTATTGTGTGCCGTTATCTGGTGCATTATTGTCTTTATGTAGTGAGTATTGCGTGTCTATGTCTAGTGGAGTATTGTCTTAATGTAGTGGAGTATTGTGTCCGTTATCTGGTGCATTATTGTCTTTATGTAGTGAGTATTATGCCTTTATCTAGTGGAGTATTGTCTTAATGGTGGAATATTGTGTGCCGTTATCTGGTGCATTATTGTCTTTATGTAGTGAGTATTGCGTGTCTATGTCTAGTGGAGTATTGTCTTAATGTAGTGGAGTATTGTGTGCCGTTATCTGGTGCATTATTGTCTTTATGTAGTGGAGTATTGCGTGCCTTTATCTAGTGGAGTATTGTCTTAATGTACTGGAGTATTGTGTGCCGTTATCTGGTGCATTATTGTCTTTATGTAGTGGAGTATTGCGTGCCTTTATCTAGTGGAGTATTGTCTTAATGTAGTGGAGTATTGTGTGCCGTTATCTGGTGCATTATTGCCTTTATGTAGTGGAGTATTGCGTGCCTTTATCTAGTGGAGTATTGTTTTAATGTAGTGAGTATTGTGTGCCGTTATCTGGTGCATTATTGTTTTTATGTAGTGGAGTATTGCGCCTTTATCTAGTGGAGTATTGTCTTAATGTAGTGGAGTATTGTGTGCCGTTATCTGGTGCATTATTGTCTTTATGTAGTGAGTATTGCGTGCCTTTATCTAGTGGAGTATTGTCTCAATGTAGTGGAGTATTGTGTGCCGTTATCTGGTGCATTATTGTCTTTATGTAGTGGAGTATTGCGTGCCTTTATCTAGTGGAGTATTGTCTCAATGTAGTGGAGTATTGTGTGCCGTTATCTGGTGCATTATTGTCTTTATGTAGTGGAGTATTGCGTGCCTTT